GTGTTTCCAGATATTGCCGATCGGCTGGTTGCTGAGCTGCAGCGACCTCCCCTGTGATGGAGACGATGGTGTAGACCATCGCCACTCCCACCTCGCTATGGGATGGACAGTGGCGATCCAGCAAGGACAGTGAATGTCCCTCTTCGGGGGTCTGATTCGTGAAGCTTGCAATCGATACTTTGTTCAATCAGCCGGGAGATTCTGCTGCTCATTTCCACCGACAGAATAATCCGGTGAGGTCGCTGGTGTACACACCGGTGGTATATAAAGATTTCCAGGACTTCTCGGTGGGGGGATGCTCCAGGAGGGACTTTCATGGTGCTCGTCTTTCTTTTCATTGTATTTACCAATTGTTCTGGCTGCTGATGTTTCTTTTACACTTTTCTATAAAATATTCAACTCCAAATGTATCCGCATTCCACCGTCCCCGCCGGCCTCGTCCCCGCCACTACGATGGCCTCCGGTTCTCTTCCCTTGATAAATAAAATTTATCAAGGGGAGAGAACCACAGCAATTGCCGCTCTCAGGGAATCTGCCGCTCCAGGCAAACGCCTTGTTTGCCTCGCGGCAGATACGCCCCTGGGTGCAACACCGGATCTCATCGTTTGTTCACACTGAGGGGCTCATTCACAAAGCTGCCGAAGGATTAGCCGCCGAAAGCTTGCTTCGGATGCGGAAACCCTTCAATTCGCCTAATCCGATTGGCTGCTCTACACGCTACTCTCAAACACACGTACAGCAGCCGAAGGCAAGGGAAGGAACGACCGAATCTAGGCGAGCGGAATGAACAGCCGGAGGGAGGAGATTGGTTCGCCAACCTGATCCGATCCAAAAACCGAAGCAGCGTGAAGTCCCCTTCCCAAATCATACTAGACCCTTTAGGGCTGGTAGGAATTTTAGGGGGACCCCAACGCCAAAACAACAAAAAGCATGGGGTCCCCCTTAAAATTCTTACTAGACCCTTGATCCGATCCAGGGGCGTCCCGAGGCAGAGTGTCACCGGAGCGGGTGACGTCATTGCGCATGTGCGTGACATCATCGCACACACGCGTGACGATGTCAGAAGCTGTTTGCTGCTGGCGACCATCTTGGTGATGGACGCCGGCAGAGAGAGAGGAGGGGGACGTTCACCCGGCGGGGTAAGGTATGCCGCAGAGTCCGCTCCTCTTTCCTGCAACTGTCAGGTTCTCGGTTCATGACCGAGTGCCTGACCTTTCGGGGGGTGGGGGGGTGTCACCCAGGTGCGGGCCGCAACCCCCTAGTGATGGCACTGCCGAACAGCAGCCTGGCAGAGAAGGAAAGGGGGGACGAGTATGTAGCCCCCCCTCCCTGCACCATAGCAGGCCACGTGCCCTCGACATGGGGAGGGTGCTTTTCTAGGGGGGAAAAGCACCTTGTCCCCATGTTAATGAGTACAGGGGCCTTTTCCCCACAACCCTGGCCTGGTGGTTGTGGGGGGCTGCAGGCAACCAGATGCCACCCCTCCCCCTCATGATAGGGGTAGTTTTTACCTCTACTCATTCACCAAATAGTAAGTAAACACACAACACCGCGTATACAAAGCCCCTAATTTGAACATAAAACACAAGACAGTCTTTGACAATTCCTTTATTTAAAAAAAAACAAAAAACGAGTGTCCACCAATGTAGTCGAACGTCAATCACGTCGTCCAGCAATGTAGATCCATGTCAATCACGATGGATGGCGGCCGCCGACTTGCCAAAATAAAAAATTCCAGCCGCCCTCCGCCACGTCCGATCCCAATAAACACATGCCGCAAAATGACAGATCTGAGCCGAATGTAAACAAAGGGGCGGAGTGAGACGTGACATCATGTCACTTGTTGCACCCCTTTGTTTACATTCCGTGTCAGCTCTCTGTCCCCTAATGGAATGTAAAGGGGTCACTCAGATGCAGATGAGCCCCCCCTGCCTGCAGACTCCTACAACCACCAGGCCAGAGTTGTGGGGAAGAGTCCCTTGTCCTCATTGACATGTGCTTTTCCAGGGGGTCCCTGGTATGGTGGAAGGAGGGGGGGGGGCGCTCGCTCCCCCCCACCCCTTTCGTGCTCTGCCAGGCTGCCGCTTGGATCAAAGGTCTGGTAGTAATTTTAGGAGAAGCACAGAGACCCAGCGGCAACCTCT